GAGATGAAGAAGACACTATTTTTTTCTTTTAAGGACTAACTGCACCAATGGAGCTAGAGGTTGAAGACTAAGAAGTCAGAATTTCAAAGCTGAGGACAAGATTATCAAAGATACTAAAGGTTAGGGACTAACATGCAAACATACTTTGACTGCAATTTTCTCAAAATAAAGAAGTTCACTTTCTTGATATGACAACCCTCTTTCAATGTGCTATTTTGCATCCACAGTTGACTCTCTCTGCTACATTTCATAGAAGCCATACATTGACGGTGTTCAATTCAACCAGTAAAAGCTACTATGACTGGAAGATTCTACAAAGTATTGAGTCATACTTGAAAATCTTGCCGGATCTAATGAGTGCTTTGAAAGTTTCGAAAAAGGATCTTGATTCTCATGAATCGACTGCTTGGATTTGAAGGGGGTCATTGATAATGCCCTATCTCAGCAGACGAATGGGTAAGTTTGTGTCAAGATTACAATGTATATAACTTTTAAAAAAATTTCATGCATAATATTTTGTTTTGTGTTGTTTCTTAGTCATGATTGCGGGATACTTATAATTTTATACGCGTTAGATATCCTCCGTAAAGGCAGAGATTCCATACCGCATAAATTCGATGCTAACAAGCGTAGACTAAATTTGCCACACTACTCTACAAATATCGAGAGATCTATGTGAAGAGGGCAATGCAACCTACAAAGGGGGAGATGATTGTCATAGAATGAAACTTGAAATTACATTTATGATGCTTTAGTTTTTAACTTTTATGAATATTACACTCCAACTTTTTGTCCTTTTTAATATTTTCTGCTCAATGAAAGTGATTGTAATGAATACTAACTTGTGGGCGTAATGTCTAATTCGCAATACATGAATGTAACATGTGTCAGTTCATAATATCTCGTTATTTGGTTACATATTATTGCAATGGGTTACAAATTTGGTGGAAAATGTCACATATTTATATACACAAGTCAATGTGTGTCATGGTTGCAACCATAACTGTTTATGCTTACCCGATGTCTATTGTGATTCTCCAGGTCACGTGTGTGATGTCTCGTGACCAAATGAAATAAACAGATGCCATAGGCCACATGTTATAGCACAGGTTTTTCGGCATGTGAATGGCGCAGTTGTGCCCATCGTCCTTGATGTCCAGTAGTTCAGATATTTTTATTATTATTGTTATTTTTTAGTTTAATTTCTTCGATAGTTATGGTGGTCTATGTGGCCGACGGTTGCTATGGCGGTTTTTTATGGTTGTGGTGGTGTGTGGGGGTGTAGTGGTTGCTATGGATGTGATGTTGCAGTTATGGGATGGCAACAGGGACATGTGTAGTGGTGGTGAGATGGTGGCTCAGCTAGCGGAGATGGTGAGTTAATGGCAATGGTAGAGTGTAAAGGAAGAGTGTGACCCATTATTAGAGTATTGTGACCAATAAATAATCCGTGACTTAAAAGAATGCGTGATTATGACTAAATTTGAAATCGTAATGAGAATTGTTGAGTTGTGACCATATAATTCGATGATTTGTGATTGAAAAATAACTTGTGGCCAACTAATTTGATAATTTGTGAACGAGAAATAATATGTGACTAATTAATTTGATAATTTTTAATCGTGAAATGACTTGTGACCTATAAAAATTATTATTTGTGACCGATAAATAAATTATAACCTATAAATATGTTGATTTGTGATCGATCAATAAATTTCATAAATTTTTTTATTTGAAACCTTGAAATAATTTGTGACTAATTAATTTGATAATTCGTGACCAAATAATTTGTAATCAAAAAATTTTTGCCCCCTTCCCCCCCCCCCCCCCGCCACACACACGATTTTTGAATTTTGAAACTTAATACCTAAGAATTGCTTTGTTGCATACTTAATAGCTGATATATGATTTTTTTTCCTTCTTGGTATCGACATCTAGTTAATAGATATGGACTTATTGCGGAGTCTAAAAGGCAAGCATTAGAAGAACGCAACTATTTTCCTTCTAAAATGACCTCAGTGAAAAGGCAGATTGATTATCTTTCAAAAAACTTTGTGTAACAGGTTTATCTCTAAATCTGTTAAAATTCTTAGAGATTCACATTTTTCAGCGAGTTGGCATCGATCAACTTGTGTGCCCAGATAGGCTTTTGTACCTACCAGTAAGAACCTAAAAAGTCTTAACTTTAGGTATATCACCACATTGCCAAGTACAATTTTTCTTTCTTGAGCTTTGAATTTTTGGACGTTGTTTAGAATAGTATATTAGGTGGTGTATTATAAGTTAAAAATTAATTTCACAGAGTAATATATTAACTCAATTAAAAAATTGAAAATATCTTAAGTATTCTCTTTAGAATTGAGTTAGTTGTATATTCATGGTGTACAAATAGTTTGACACCCTTTGAGGTGTCAAAATCGAAATAATTGATTAGAATAAGTGTTGTTAAAATCAATAGTAAAATTGTGTATTTTCAAGGAGTTAAGCAAAGCTGTCAACCATAGTGTAAGTATAGGAAATTGTTCTCTTTATTAGTTTAGACCGAGCATTGAATATTTTTCCTTTATATGATATTTTTTAATATATTAGTAGATTTTTTTTATTGCAGTGTTATACAATATGCTTAATGAAGCTATATATATAATTCAATAGGTTACATCCATTAAGCAAATTTATAAATAAGAATAGTATGGGAAAGAAAAAAAGAAGAAGAATACTAGGGAATTCCACAAACGGGTTATGCTACAAGTACCAAATAGATTATCTAATGGTTTATTGAATTGACAAGTGACGGCCCCTATTGGAGGGGGCGGCTGTGGACAATAGGGGCCACCACTTGTCAATTCGATAATCTATCTGGTAGTAATAGATTAATTCTTCCACAAAATGTGTGGCTGTTTTGACTTTGAGGCAGAAGTTGGTGGGGTAGTTGGCACTTGGTAGCTCCCATTAATCAATCACAAGTCCAGGGATCGAATTTTAATGGTTTGATTTTTGAAACAACTCAGGAAAAACCGGCCAGGCTGATATGGGGATTTACTTAAAAACCTGCCGGTTTGTCCGTACTTTCAATTAATTCAACCGGCACGGATTGGTGCGGGGTTTGGCAGGTTCCTTATCGAGTCAGATTTTAAAACTATGGTTCCTACTGGAAAATTATCAACAATTAATCACATATATCAACGTGGGCGGTGGTGGCAGTGAGATCAGTTGCCCCAATATTAAAATTCAATTCCAAAATCATAAACCTAGATTTTTCAAGATTTTGCACTAGATTTTCAAAAAAACATTATAATATTCAATTTTACCTGCAATTAAAATTTTGTGAAATTTGCCCCTATATTTAGCCCTCGTTTGGCCCCCATTAAATTAAATTACATTATATTTCATTTTTCTCTCTCCTATTTTCAACCACACAATCTTCCATAAAATAATATTACATGTAAATCGAAAACTTTTTTTTTTCTTTTTCAACCATTCATTTTTAAAAAAAATACTATTCCCCCCATTTTCATTTTCAGAAAATGGGGGCCAAACGGGGGCTTATTCTATTCTAGCTCCGTTCCTATATATCAATAATTTTTTTTTTTCTTTCTCAACCATAAAGAGAAGAGATACCCTACCCCTATCCCTCTCAGGGGAGTTGTCTCGGCCATGTGAAAGATGTGCCAAGGCCAAGCAATACTTGGTGTTGAACAGAGTACATTTTATCCAAATATGTGAGAGGCAAACAGCATACGATATTACGATTTGACAACAAGTCATATTTTGTGGGAGCCATTTTGAGCCACTTTATTAACTTGTAAAAAGAGAGTCAGCGACAGGTTATAGAGGGAAAAAGGATTCTAAAACTGGGGGCATGAATTGGAGGTAGTCGTGGACTCTCTCTTTACCTTTCTCTTCCTATGATATACACATTTGAGATGCTTTCTCAAACGTTGGTTTTCTGTGTGGCTCTCTTTTCTTATCCCTACCAACAATCCCAGGCCTAGCCCTTTTTATTATATTCACAAATATGTATAGCATGAAGGGTTTATCTCTTCAACTAGTCACTCAATTTCTAAAAAAAAATATGTCGAATCAAGAAAATGGCATGCCCGAAGAAATGCAACCGTGGACAGAACTAAAATTACCTGATCTGTTGAGTACTGACACCATTCGAGAACTTCATGCAGCCATTGAAAGTGAATGGGATTCCTCAAGGCGATCAGCGTGCCAGATAGCAGCTGGACGAGCGTTGTGGAAGCACGCGATCCACGATCCACTCGCAGAGCTGTTTGCAGGAGAGACATACATGAGAAGCATTTATGAAAAGATTAAGAAAGACCGGCTTAACAATGCCAGAGAAATTTCGGGGGTGATTGTTGCTGTTCGAACCCTTTGGTTCGATTCAAAGCTTGAAGCAGCTCTCAGTTCCTTTGGTGGTGGAACAGCACAAGTTGTCCTCTTAGGTGCAGGTGAGTGCCAAAGCTCATAACATTTCAATATAGAAAATCAAGATATTTCCTTTCGCATCTGTTTAATTATCAAATTTGCATAATAAACATGCCATAAGGGAGCTTCAAACATGAGTGCTTGGTTATTCGCAACCGGCCTTAGTATCTGCTAACACACATGGCTCAGCTATTTTGTGTTTGCCCATTTCAAGCTCAATATACACAAGATAGCAAGTGAAAAAGAAATACATAACTCTCAAGTTGCATAAAGTTACAGAATCAAACATTTGGGGCATTTTATCATGCGGTTGAGATTTTGTATATCAACTGATATGTTCACAAGATCATGGATTTCAATAAGCTATTCTTGTATGCTATATTTTAATTTTGAAGATATTTGCATTTCATTTAGACTATACTGTTCTGGCAACACATATCGTGCAGTAGATATTTGCATTTCATTTATAGAATATGAATTATGAAGTACAGGCGTTGAAGAGGAACAGGGGATAGGAGATCATATACAAGATGACTGGCTTGAAAAGCTTCAAATGTCAGGATTTGAGCCAAAGATGAATACAGTCTGGGTTTTAGAGGGCATCCTCTATTATCTCCCACACTCTGATGCCATGAAGGTGCTAAAAAGTATTGCAGACAAATGCAATCTTACACACACAGTGCTCTTAGCAGACTTCATGAACAAGCAAGCAACCACACTATCCAACTCCATCTTTCAATTCTACAGTGATTGGCCTGATCAGTTACTGCCATCTCTAGGATTTTCTGATGTGACGCTTTCTCAGATTGGTGATCCAGATGCCCATTTTGGCCTGTTGCAAGATCCACTAAATTTGTTCAACAAGTTACGCAATTTGCCGAGATCAATTCAAACTCACCCAGATGATGGAACACCATGCTGTCGCTTGTATTTGTTACAAGCTTCTGGCTCACCTAGTCAAACCATTTCTTGAGGCAAGTTAGCAATAGTTTTTACATGATATACATATCAAACTACGACTTTTACAATATAGATGTAGGTGATATTGCTTGTTACTTTTGTTTATAGGTTCAGTAACACAAATTGGCAGGCAACAGAACAGCATATAGACTTATCACTCCAAAAAGTCATATGACAATAATCAACTAGTATGCAAGCACCAAATCTAAGACAATAAGAAAATGCGGCGGAGAAAAGGAGCTACATGCCTAACCTTGACAACATTTATGCACAATGCCTATTCCCAAATTGGAAATCCATGACCTCACTACTCTTTGGCATGGGAGCAATGCCCTCTAAATATTATATACTTCTCACTCTTATAAATCATGAAGTGTACTAGGACATTTTCATGTGGTGGAGATTCTTCCTTTGCATATCAAATAGAATTCACAACATTTTCCTGATGGTTCCCCTTTACTGCAATTCACCACGTCATAATTTAAACTGATATATTAAACCAAAAGGCACTATTATTCACATAAAGTATGCTTGAACGGAACGGCTATCAAAATAAAATCTTTCAGCATGTAATTTGGAAATTCTAGATTACAGCTAAGTGATCATCCGGTTTGTAACTTGATATTTTTTCTAAAAATAGTCAGACCTGCACGGTCTTTTCCTGAAATTATTAATTACCCGTCAAGTCGAGTAACATGCCTCAAAATAAGAACTTTACAATGTAAAAGGCATCCGTATAAAAAATAATGATTAAAAAAATAAAAGACTTGTATAGTTTCAGAGATGCATCTGAGTGTGACGGTCACTGCATTTCAGGAATCAAACTCATGGATTTATATAAAGTATTTAATGGGTTGTATCACTAAAATCATAGAGTTTCACAAGGAAAAAGGTAATATAAATAATGCAAGTTACAACATAGGCACAAAACAATGTCACTTTCATGACCTAGTTAGAAGTGTTAAGACGTAGCAGCTTACAAAGTTCTTATTGCATCACCAGTGCATGCCTCTGTGTTTGTGTGTGTGTGTGTGTGAGAGAGAGAGAGAGAGAGAGTTGTATAAGGTGTTGGTAGGGGAGAGGCGGGGGGGGGGGGGGGACCTGAAAAAGCATAAACTTATGAATCTCCATTAGCATAACATCATTTCATTTTTTTATCAACGTCACATTCACAGAAAAATCACATGTAAATGGCAGTATGTGTACAAAATATGGGAATTAAAAATTGAACAGGAAATAATTAGAACTGCAAAAGGGAAGAACTAGCAAATCGAGGCCCGTGTATAAACACAGTGTCCTTGAAACAGACTCGTTCCCTCACCAAAAGTGCTTGAAGTTTTTATATGCGTCTGTCGCTCAGAATACAATGGAAAAACTTGTAGAAATTGAGCACTAAATTTCTACATTGCGAACTAAGTTTGTATTTGACTATTGAGACTCTGGACAGAAAGTATTGCAGACAGAAAATGAAAATTGTATGAAAAAGCAAAAAGAAAATCCCCTTGTGGAACTAAGGAAACTGATTTGTATTATAGGCCAAACCATGGATGGAGAGTTAAATCCCTTCATAAATATGCCATTTACTTCATATTATAATGGCAATAACCATTGGAATTTCAACACTACTTCATATTATAATGGCAATAACCATTGGAATTTCAACACTTAAAATGTCAGTCGATGAAAGCAAACAATAGGAAATAAAAGCAAAATGTTGACCCAAGTCGCGCTTGCACACAAATTCAAGGCTTGATGTATAATTCGGTTCATGATTGCACCCCGCTATGCGGGCATGTAAAACGAACGTCTATCCTATACATGATTATACTTTTTAAAAAAAATGACGTCATTGAAGACAAATCCCACAGCTTCAGGCTAGTGCCTTGGATTAGCTGGGAGGAGTGGAGCTTCACCAAAACCTCCCTCTTTTCGTCTTCTCCAGATTTTATAAACTCTGCCTCCAAAGGATAAATATATATAGAACTTAGATTATGTGTATTTTTAGTTTATGAAAGATTTTTTATTTTGGCAGATTTTTAGATATCGACATGGCGGAGCAGAGGGTGCATTCTGGTGGTGATTGAAGTCACTGCTCCTATTATCGAAATTCAACAAAAAGATCCTTTTTCAGTTGAGGTTTTTTTTTTTTTTTTTTTTCCTTTTTTTTTTTTTTACCAAGGCAGCTGCTAGCATTAAATTCTTCAAATTTTTGTATACATATTTGTGTACCTTTCAGTATAGAAAGTGTGGTCTTTACTTTCATAAACTTCTTATGTGGAATAAACTTAGTATGTTTTTGAGTCACATTATTTTGAAAGAATGTATTTCGGAATAGTAGATTGATATAGAATGTGTGGTTAAAAAATGAGGAAAAGTTTTGGATTTGCGTATAATATTATTTTATTAAAAAGTGTGTAATTAAAATGATATCAAATCACTGTTTAAAAAATATTTTTTGGAAAGAATATGGCTCAAACAGAGACAAATAATTTTCCCTCCAACACATAAACCTCTTCCACTTCATCAATTTTGAGCTTTAATAACTCATTCACTTCAACATCATTTTGGCGAGAAAATATATGATCTCAATGTTCTCACAAAGGAGAACACAAATCAACTTCAATCTTTCAAAATGAACAAAAGGATCCCACCCAAAAATTTATCAAAACGGCCCATATACACACATTTTTCCAACAGTCTGCTCTCATATATGGGTGAATTTTCACAATGTGGTAAATCTCAGGCATGAAAAATAGATACTTGACAAACATTAGCAAACTAAGTCAAAAAAAAAAAGGGCAGCTACATGTGCCTGTTATCTTCAATCCAGTACTTGTGAAAATGAATTTATTGATGCCAGATTTTAGTATATTGACCAACAATTTTAACAAAACTCGATAGAGAACTAGATAGTCAAAAGAACTGAGTTTAAATTCTCCTTTCTTCATCATATAATCAAGCCAATTGATGCAGCTTGACAATTCGTCTGTGGCATTGTGCAATTATAAAAATTAAAATGTAGTCCCAGTTTTCCTTGAGTCGGGATCTTAACTGCAAGATGTATGTCATTCAACCATTTGTAAAACATACAGCAAAATTCATTGATATTCCTACTGTTCTTACTTCCTAAATCTACATCAATTGACACAGAATTTTAGCTTATCTAAATACAAGCGTGGAAATAATACAATATAAAATCCGCAGTCTAAAAAAAATTCAATAATTAAGTCAACAACAGAATCCCTATCCTACGGAGTACAATCCCTACCAGCAAATAGAACAAGACAGACAAAAGAATCGCCACAGAAGTAATAGAATAAGAGGTCGGCAAACGTCGAGCGCATTGTACCTGCTAAAACACCAATTTCTATTTTAAAGCTTGTACATCTCTCGATCAACTGTATTCTTCAACCATCAAATTCCAAATTGGGATACAAATCTTGAGAATTCAATGTATTTGGATGTGTTGCATCTCTAGCATCCCTTTAATTGAATGAAAGATTCGTCTCTACAGACCATAATTTAGGTCTAAAATAGAGTCCAAAGATAATAGAAACCATAATTTTAGTCCAATTAGGATATCCCAAATTACTGAAATTTATACTTTTAATTGTGCAATTTGGTCTTTATTTTCTCTTTTTATTCGGATTGAGTCTTTAGATATTGCACTTGAGATCTTTCAACTTCCAAATGTGACTCTTTGGTCCTCAACTTAAAGAATATGTCAAACTTCTCTCATTGTTGAGCAAATATCATTCTTTTCTCACCCGTTCCGGTTCCATTTTGGGGTTTTTCCTAAAATAATTAATAAGCATACATAATTAAATATCAAGCTCGTAATAATCATTCCCAAAGACTACTTTTAAGGAACAAACTAAGTGTAGTCCATTTTAATACAACAAACATTCAAATATGTTTGGTAAAATAAGATGATTAAAAGCAAGTTTGCATTGAAAAACATTCTCTAATAACATTTGGTTTGACTCGATTTGATGTGGCCACATTATCGTTACATAGGTTCTTTGTATTTTCCAATAGAATTTATACTTAACCAACATATAAAGGCTCAAGTCACTCTTGAAAATATTGACATTTTAAGATAAAAACTCAAGTTCTTAATATGGTATTAAAGCCATAGATATATATCTAACCCTTGATCCGGATAAGCCATTAGATCACCGTATAAAATTTTCACTCGGTGGATCAGTGTTTCAACTTGTGGATCATTGTTAGTCCATAAATCTAAATAAAAATATTTTTTTTTTTCTAAATTGGAAGAGTTAAAACGATATTTTATTTTAAAAGTTAAAATAGAGAATCTTTTAGATTTACTTTTAAGTATTAACTCTTTAAAATTAAGAGCATTTTGTATTTTAGAGAATTTATTGGAGATGCTCTGTTGGGTTTTTGATACCCAATAATCTCGGGCGATGATGTAAAACAGTTGGCGGATTATTTATCGACACCATGGATTTGGCTCGACTCGGAGATGAACTACACTTTCGGATGGTTCGGGTTCGGGTTGGATGATTATTTGGTTAGTTGGACCATTTAGTGATTAATATGGAGTTGAATATTGGCCCATTAGTAAATCGAAAAATTTATAAAATTGATTTTTAATCGAAAAATAACTAATAAAAATAGTGATGTCATCGTGATTAGCAGCACAACTTATCCCATAAAAGTCGAAGTTTGAATCATCCAATGAGGAATAACCCTAGGCCCAATTAGAGTGACCTAAACTAACCTATATATATGTATTTATCTCCCGCCCATTTTTGTGGTGGTGTGTGTGTTGTAGCAATGGAGAGGAGAGTTGAGAGAAGAAAGGCAACCGAGAGAGAGGGAAGCCATGTGAGGTTGTGAGTAAGATTCAACTAGTGTTCTTCTTCCTCTCCATACCTTTGTGGATTGCTAACACCACCACCCTTCTCTTTTGTGGGGATAGAGAGAAAGAGAGCAGTTCAAAGTGAAGGTGAAAGTCTCGGGTCGAGTCAAGGTAAATCGGTGTTTGTTTGATTGTTTTCTGAGCCCGGAATCAAGATTTATCGAGGGATTTCCGCTACATGCTCTAACATTTTACCTTGTGTGGCCGTAGGTCTCAAGTCTTTGATACCAAGAAAATATTAATAAATATATTTATTTATAGTCGAAAATCGCCATAAAACTCATTTTTAGTTTAAAAAATATGGAGAACTAGAAATTATAAATGACTTCAAAGGAGAAACGTGTGTTTAAAACATGTTTGGCTGATTAAAGAAGTAAAAGTATATAAAAATAACTTATAAGCATAACCAAATATTTATGAATGTTGTTACTGTTCACGTTGGCATTTGAGGGTATCACGTAGGATTTTTGATTAACGTTATTTGTCAGTGAACTTTAGTTTAATCTTATAAACTTGAGCAAGAATGACAAAATTTTCCATCATGTCCTTATAGTAAAC